AATAACATCTCACAGGGAAAAATGAATCTGAAAAAAAAGGGACGAAATGGTCAATGAAAATTATCGAATGACAAAAGTAAACAACGTTTTACAGATAGGACGTTGCATCAGAACATAATTGACCACATATCTGTGATTATTATTTTATACAACAGAATAATTCGTTCCAGCTGTTTTAATTTTAAATGAACACTGGTTGATCAAAACGTATATATGTATGTATATGTATTAATATATATATACATATATATTAAGTTAAAAACCGTGATTCGGTCCGTGAATTTTTTTCTTCTCTCGTATGGAAAGTTCTTCTTCTAGAAAATGCCAGCTTCCTCGCACGCAGCAGCTGGTTATTGATTAATCGAGTTGTTGACTCCATGCTTACAGCGAGCTTCATCGAATGAGTCTTCCGATTGAATAGGCAGGACGCGTAGGTAGACCGAGGTATATACTTAGGGAAGGGACACAGATGCTTCCTTTGAAGCACACTTCCTCCTTTATATAATACGATTACGAGGTAAAACTAAGTTTAAAGTACTGTCGATGTTCGTGTCTTCGTGTTGCGTGAACTTCATCATTGACGACTCGTTACAGCCTGTTCAGTTCTCCAAGAAAGACACGAATTGAGTGAGTTTGAACAGCTGATTCTCGGTAAGACAAACTTCGTTGGCAAGGTTACTCTCTTCTTTCTGAATCTTGCAAGGTTGGACCATAGTCCCGTCCACAGTCCAGCCCCTTTCAACGGCAACCCGACGCGCTTCTTCTAACGTTAAGCCCGTCATTGACGCAAACACAGTTAAACCCAACGACGAATAAGCTTTCGATATTAAGATAATCGCTCTTTCTCGAACATTATCTGAAAAAAAAAAAAAATGATCTAGAATTAATCGGCGCAAGCAAAGAAATTTCAGTTGTTTTCTAATTTATTTTACTATATATACCTTTTAAAGCAGCCATAATATCAGAGACATCTTCACTCCATTCTGCATTGAGGGCCACGTGAACTGCAGGCCAATCTCTTTGCCACATACGTTGTCCTACCATCCATATCTGGCCAAGTTCTGCATTTCCACTTTTGAGGTCCGCTGGTATCCGCTTCCACAAGTATTTGGCGTTGCATCTGCGACGGTGATTTTTCGATCAAATAAAGACGGATCGAAATCTCACTCGTGCAGGTCTTACAAGGAATGAATTTGTGTCGTTGAAGTATTGTTAATAGTAAGAAGCCGAGTAAGAAGCAAAGTGTTTGTTACAAGCTCTAAATTATAAAAATATGACCAAATCCCTTTCGAGGATAAATTTTACAAACAATTGTACCGTGAAGAGTTAATTATTAGAAAAAAAATGTTCGTTTATAAAATTAAATATGCGATTAACGAGCAACATATCAAATTATTAATGAAATGAGATAAACATAATATAGTATAGTATAAATTAGTATAAGTTGCAATAATAAATATGAGATCGTTCTTCTCCATGATTTTTCACATATCATAAAATTAACAAATGCATAATGTATAAAACTGATCGATTATTTTCGAGATGATTTTTATTAAAAAATAAAAGAAAAGGTATTGTAATCATAAATTGAGGATGCTCTCAAAAAGTCCGAAATTAAATACGAATAAGATATATAAGGCAAAAGGACTTCAGAAAAAACATTGTTACACATTATAAATAATAAGTACATATAAATAAATAACGATAAATAAATAAGTAACTATTTTTATCTTAATTATCATTTAAGAAAATTATGTATTTAAATAAAGAAATTCGTATTTCGCCAGCATGGATATAAATTTGCAGATGGCGTTAACACGATATATGTATAAACAATAATTTTATTATACAAACGTTTAAGTATAGCATGTTGCAACTTTACATCATGAGATATATAATATTTTCAAATGAGAAACTTATTTTTGATCAACATTTAAAAAAAACACACACACAAAAGAACTAAAATCAGTTACTCAGTGTACTCACAGATCGTTCTGATAAAGATATACAGCTAATAATTGAGCATAAGTCTGTGGCGATGCAACTCCACCAGGGGCCTGTAAAAAAAATATTTAATAATAAAATACATAAAATATTTACTAATATTCTCGAAAAAAGTAATCGGCATAACCTATAACCTATAACGCTGTTCAAGCGATACACTTACCTCTAACTCAGCTTTTTCCAATTCGTGGAGAAATTTATCTACTTCACTTAGCACCATGATGAAATTTCGTTATTTCCACAAAGAAAAAAACGATATTGAAACAATTGTGTTAAAAGTACGCGGCAACATTGAAATAATTAACGTCAAACAAGAAATCTAAACAGCTGAAGACTGAACATAGGTTACATTTGCAATTCCTGTACTACTTCGATATAGATGGCAGCACCTAATAAACCAACTTTTTCAAATTAAATAATCATATAACCTTTGATTTGAAATTAATTTTGATCCAAATAGATACATCTTTATATCATTAATTTAGTTAATTATATATAGATTTACAGTTATAAAACATTTCATTTAATGAAATTCAATTCCGTCATGAAACTTATTTAAGTTCAATAAGTTAATTCCAATTCAAAAATTCAATTCAACTTGAATGCAAAAATTCAAAAATTAGAAAGAAACTTGTATCATAAATAAAATATAAAATGAATCTGATATTCAATGTATATTCATTTTCTACATTTCAATCTTCTTTTTTGTATCAAACGTGACAGTGGTTTAAATTAAAACTAAATTTTAAATTAATAATGTATAAAATTTATCTTACAATCATAAATGGAATATAGAATTCTATATTGCAATTTTTTTTTAAGGAAATATTTAATAATTTTATATAAAAAGATTTAAATTCTATTAATTTAATGAATTTAATTTATTCAATTTGATAGTACATAATAATAAATGTAGTAATGCTTCACCATACTCAATTTTACTCACTTTACTCATGAATTTCCATTATATTCAACAAAATTTTTCTATTATAGATATTATTTGAAATCATGTAATAAAAATAATGCTACTTACAACTTATGTTCGCTGTAATATATTGTAGACACAATCCATTGCAAATTTTTTATTGTTCCAGTGAAATGGAAAGTCCCAATGTCATGTCTATCCTATCCTTACTTAATGTTCATATTTAATTCAAGTCTACATTAAAAATACATTATAATTATATTAAAAATACAGTATAATTTTATTTAAAAAATGTTAAAAATTGACTAAAATTTTTATTACATTGTATCAATGTGAATAGGTATTTTATGCCTAGCAGTGTTTTATGGTCCGTTACTGATATGATACTTCTATAATCACGACTGTCATCACGCTTGTGTGACTGTATACAGGCAAATGACCATTGAATAAAATGTTTGCATCATCGCAGAAAATGCAATTAAATATTATGATTTGTTATTACTGATGCTGCAGTTTTTGTATTTCAATACAACCGGCGAAGTGACATAAGCCTAACATGGCTACTGTTAAAGTAACCGAACAGAAGGTTATTCTATGCGGTGAATATGGTGTTGGAAAGACATCTATATTTAGGCGGTTCGCGAATAATACGTTTATAGCGAGCAGCGATAGAAAATCGACATTGGGTCTCGATAATATCGATAAAGAATATGTCGTTGAGGACAGACGAATACGAGTAATGTGTTTATATATATCTATATATATATTCACAATCCTTGAAACTGAATTAAATAGCCAATCTCTCATTTTTCTTTATATATAAATAAATTATTTAAATATTTGTTGTTAAACATTTTATATTTGTGTTAAACGTTTAAATCTATTTTACTTCCCAGTTGCAATTGTGGGATACGGGTGGTATGGAAAGAGTTGCATCAGTAACATCCAGCTATTATAAATTTGCAGAAGCTGCTATACTAGTTTTTGCATTAGATAATTCAACATCTTTTCATCTCTTATCTCAACATTTACTTGATATTGTTACATATGCTGAAAATGCAAAAATATTTCTATGTGGAAATAAAAGTGATTTAGAAAGCACAGCTCCACAAGTTACAGATGCAGAAATGGAACAATTTTGGTAAGTTTAATTACAATCTAACTGTCATGCAATGTACATCTATGTACAAACATTTATTATTTATTGCAGTGAACAATGTCACAATTTAATTTCTGGCATATATAAGACATCATGTAAGACTGGAGAAGGGATACATGAAATGTTCGAAGACATAGCACAGCATCTAGTGGAAGCTAATAGATCACGCATGGAATTGCATGAAATGGACAAAGACAGATTTAAAATTTCATATATTGATGAAGCTGCTGATCCATCATGTTTGTGCTAAATAATAAATATTAGCAAGTGTATGATCCTGATGCAATATTCTTTACAACTCGAATAACTCAACACACAATAATAAAGTGTGATGAGTGAAAATATCTTTTTATATCAAGCAACGATAATGCCAAGTTTTTCTATGAGAGAAATATCCCGAAACAAAAAATGGGAGGAAAAGGGGGAATATTAATAGAATTTGTGAAATTAATTAAATCTTAAAGAAGTCATAAAAGCAGAAAAGTTTAAATAAATTTATTATATATTGAAAAGTATTTTACTTAATTAAACTTAATTTATTTATATCACTCACAGTCAGCATTGTATATTGGATCCAAACTATCTTCATATTAGATAGTTGGAACTATGTGACAAAACGTCATTAGTGTTGAGTCCATTTAATAGTTTTCAAATCAATTCCCTCTTCGACCATTTCCCATAATGGACTGCAAAATAAGCAATTCAAATATGTATTACTAAGTGTATATGATAAATATATAAGGCCATATATTCTTAATTATGGAGACGTCCAACAATAAATTTATGCCCTCCGTTTATTGTAACATCGCGCTTTTTATATTCATCGCCAAAATTATACAAAGCGTAATTCATCCATCCGTGCTATCAAATAAATATATTGTAACTAAATAAAATGTACCTCATTTCTCTAAGTCTTCTAACGTGCCGAATTGTATTTTCCGCAGTATAATCAACTTCTTCAACAGTTGTAAAACGACCAATACCGAATCTACACAGATAAGCAAAACATGATAATAGATAATCAGATTATTATGTCATAAACGTTATTAATTTACCTGATACTGGAATGTGCTAGATCTTCTGATGTTCCAATTGCTCTTAAAACATAACTAGGTTCCAAACTCGCACTAGTGCAAGCAGAACCACTACTCAGAGCAACATTTTTTAGAGCCATTAATAGAGATTCTCCTTCTACATATGCAAAAGACAAATTTACACATCCAGGATACCAAGCTACCGGATCTCCGTTACGTATAACATGTGGTAGATTGGACATTATTTTGTCAATCAATCGGTTCGAAAGCATTGTAATATATTTGTGATCATACTAAAAAAGAAAAAAGACGAACAAGTTTAGTTAAGGATCATAATACATATATTCATTTTACAACTAAAATACCTCCATTTCTATTTGTGCTAAATCACAAGCTGCTCCTAGGCCTACTGTCAAAGGTGCTGGAACAGTACCACTTCTCATACCTCTTTCTTGGCCACCACCACTTTGAATTGCTTCTATGCGTACCCTTGGCCTTCTTCTTACATACAAGGCTCCAACCCCTTGAAATTTCATTTATAATTATTTAAATGTAAAACCAAAATTTATCTTAAATGTACCTTTTGGACCATATATTTTGTGACCACTAATAGACATCAAATCAATATTCATAGCATTAACATCAATTGGAATTTTACCAATTGCTTGAGCTGCATCTGTATGGAAAAATACTTTCTTCTTTCTATAAAATTAATATTATTATAAAATTTTTTTCTTGATATTAACTTACAATATTTTCCCTTACCTACAAATGGCACCAATTTCTGCAATTGGTTGTTGTACACCAATTTCATTATTTACCATCATAACAGAAACCAGAGAAGTAGTTGGTCTAATTGCATCTTCTAATTGATTAAGATCAATAAGGCCATTTGGATTTACTGGAATATATGTTACTTCAAATCCTTCTGCTTGTAAAGCTCTACAAGAATCCAATACGCATTTGTGTTCCTATATTAACAAAATTATATATAATGATAAATTCATAACATTACATAATTAATATTCCAATACAATTAACATACTATCTGAGTCGTCACAATATGATTTTTTCTTTCTTTGTAGAATCTTGCAACACCTTTAACAGCTATGTTATTACATTCTGTGGCACCAGATGTGAATATAATTTCTTTATTATCTGCACTTATTAAGTTTGCTACTTGCTATTAAGAATGAAACATTTGATTATCAAATTATAATCTTTTTCAATAAATTTAACAAATTTAAATTATATGTGATATTAACTTTGCGAGCAAGCTCAACAGCAGCTTCTGTTTCCCATCCATACATATGAGTTCTGGAATGTGGATTTCCATAATATGATGTGAGATAGGGCATCATTTTATCCAATACTCGTGGATCCTATGTAATAATTTAAATATCGCAAATTATATTTATCACAATTATCACGTCACATATTTACCATTGGCGTAGTTGCTTGAGCATCCAGATAAAGTGCCCTGCCTTCTGCAGGTCCTCTTTTATACTCATCTGAGATGACAGCTATAATTTAATCACATATTTACATACAAAAATTAATGAAATTCTGTAATTACACAAAATAGAATACTTACACTCATATTCTGTAATTTCTGATAAATTTTGACTATTAACATGTACTGTACGACATTCCTTGATACGACTTAAAGAATATAACAAAGTTCTTGCTGGCCGGAACATATTAACTTTTATAAAAACACAAGTTTATTTCAATTATCGACGATTTTTAAAATACATTCTAACATTAATACGTTCTAACCTTAGATAACCTGACTGAACAGTTTGGTTTCTAAATTACATCTAGATATGTTTGGAACTACCTATGGAAATGTAAATACATATTAGGTAAACAGTAATTATCAACTGTAAATACAATGTATTTGGTATGACAAACTTAATTTATTACTTACTCATTCATATGTTCACAAACACTCAGCACTACTACATAAAATGATGCAATATTGCTACAATCTACAAATATACATATACTTTGAAAATACGTCAATATCTTAATGTGGAAATAAAAATAAAAATAATCGAATTAAATATAATTGCATAAATGAACATAAAGACAATTATAAAAAACAGTTTATTAAGTACAATAAATATACAAACTAAGCACGTTTGAGTATTTCTAGAATTACAAAAAATAATTTAATTTGTATGTAAATATGTTTTACAAGTAAATGTAAGAATACAAATTATATTTAACTATATTTATGCAGGCAGCAATGTATAGAAATTATCATAGTCGTAAAATACTGATTAACATAGAAAAATTACTGACGATCTTTCGATAAATTTAATGAGTCGGCAATATCACTACTTTGTGATTGTTGTTGTTTCTTATGTATTGTGGTCATATCTAACATACCACCAAATTCAGATTTAGAAATTGATAGATCTTCAGTTCCTTGATACTCATTTGATCGATTAATTTTTGCATTATCGTTTTGTACTTCCATTTTTTTTCGATCAGTTGAGTAGTCTTCTGGAGTTGCAGAAAAATTTCTACAAGATTCTGAAGACCCAATAGTTGTTTTAAATGGCGATTGAATAGGATCAACCATAGCGAAATCGTTTGATTTACGTTCGTTCGAGTCAATATCTCTCGCAGGAGAAATTTTACCAATTGGTCCAAACAAATTTGCAATATTACGCATATAAGCAGATGGCGATGGCGATGTTCTTGCAAAATCTGGAATAGGAAATCCAGAGAGTTTCGCCAAATCCGCTGTAGAAAAATTAGCTAATTTTGATAAGTCCGAAAATTTAGAAATTTGTTGTGTTATATCAGCTAGAGGAAAATCAGGTGTTGTAGATGAACGCGTTTTATTGATACTTATATCCGTTCCGAGAGGATTGGATACTTTTGAAAAATCAGTTGGTGCAAAATCATAGTCACATTTAGCATTTTTTACAGAAACTGTGAGTTCTCCAGATTGAAAGCTGGGCATCACTTCTGATGGTGATATGTGCTGCTTAGATGTAGAGTTTCCGTCTTTTAATTGCGTGATTGATGCAGTGTCTGTCGTTATAATATCTTTTTTAATATTATCTCTGGATGTAGATGGCTGCATCACGAAAGGTTTTGATGTAGGAGTAATTATGGCACCATCAGGCTTAAAATTCACAGGTGTAAGAAAGACAGCTGCATTATTAGGTGCAAGACCAACTCCTGGTGGAACTGAGGGAACAAGTGATTCTGAGACTGGTACTAGAGGGAATTTCATTGCTAGAAATTCCGGTGATGCTCCATCTTCAGAACCAGGACAAATCATTTCTCTAATTACATCCCAATATGAACCATTCGACCTATTACGCCCGGGTAACTTGGACGCTAAAGAACACTTTAGATATCGACGTATTTTAATATTAGTACTCATATTTCTAGCTTACTTTTCATATACTTACTCTTAAACGTTCAAGATAAGTTGTATTATTGTTAAAATTGGCAGTAAAATCAATACCTCCTTCACTTCTATAATATTCTATGCATCTTCTCTGAAATAATACATAAATACAATGTATTAAATTATTTTTATTGCATTATTAATTGAATATCTATATACTTACAATTTCTTCTAATGTATCTTGAGAAAGAAAATGCTCTTGAGATAATGTATAACTCAAAAGCATTGGTCTCGGATACTCATGAGGCCGATTTTCTGGAGGTGGTAAAGACCAAAAAACATTAAAATTTGATTCATAACAACTGCCATCTGTATTATAAGGAGCTGAAATCAATATTTGTTTTCAATCCATGAGATTTGATTACAAAATATTATTTATTAAATAATATTTCATGAAAGAAATCTTACAACATATTAATCCTACACATGGTGTATAACCATTATCACTAGGTCCTTTCATTTTAATTTGATAATCTAATTGAGAATCAACATCTCTAAGAGAAGGAGAAGCATGAGATCTAGGATGAGAATGATACCAGCCAACTAAAGTCACACGTTTCCATTCCATTGCTCTTGCAATTTCAGCTTCAACTGCAGCTGCAGCTGATTTATCTTTGCCAGAATATCGGCATGGAAAAGCAGTTGTTATAGATAGATCTATCATTTTAGGATAAATAATTTTTAGTAATAAAAATATATTTAAATTATACTAAAATACTATAAAATATTTACTGTGTGAATTAATATCCCAATGACCACCTAAATAGCCACAAACTTCTTTATCTGTTAAATGACAGTGCAAATCTACCAATAAAGCTGCAGTAGTTGTTATAGTAACTAAAAAAGGTTGTATTTTGCCGAGTGTACTAAAAGAAGTAAGTTCTACCATTGTACTCATATCCCTAAAACATAAATTATAATTAATAATATAAAGAATCTTTCTTTTGTATTATTCTCTTACATGGCATGGCTCCTTATTCCAAGATTAGCATGTTTTACTGGTACTCTTACTACTTGTATTGGAGGACTTGTTTGAACTTTTTCAGGACTTTCCTCCATAGGCTCTGCAGTTGTTGTTATTGTTTCCATTTTGCTTGTTTATTTCTCAAAAAGTAAATAACATCAGGCCATGATTATTGACTATAAATTATATTATATTATATATTCATGACAAGTAGAGTTTAATTAAACAGTAAAATAATTCTTTAAATAGTACATTACCATTATCATATTACATGCTCTCTCTCTCTCTCACACATATATTGTTGATATCCTAACCAATTCTTGAATCTATTGTTATGACTGATAATAGAATAACACTAGTTACAATTTCTTACTAGTTATAAAAGACTCCCTATGCCATTAATAGAGATATATACGATGTCAAGGTTGGTATTACAATAAATTTCAATATTTAGTAATTTTATAATTTAATATAACTTGGATACATGTATTAATGAAAGGATTTTTAATGATTTTAGATTTTTCAATTGTTAAGATAGATTATAGAATTTTTATTTATATAATTATTAAATAATGAATTACTACTTATGTAGTTTACTAAAATGATTTATTTACATTATACATAACTTTTGCACATATAATAATTTGTGGAAGATAGAAAACATATTACAAAAGATAAAAAATAGATGTTTTCCTATTAATAAATAAGTGAATAATCATAATAAGGCACCTCTTAATTCCTAATGAGTATTTTACCTACAATTTGAGGATATTACAAAATTATTTATGCTATCGCATTTGTATAAATATAGTTAAAAATAGAGTCGTTCATTGTATTATAAAATGAAGTTATAAATATTAAGTAAAAAAATACTAATACTGCGTGTAAAAATTGTGATTGGTTTACAATGTTTGATTTTTTTGGCACTACAGTACTATTAATATACTACTCTAAAAATATTATTTTTGTGCATACTATCAAAATATCATATTGGCACAAAGTTGTATCCATTTACTTGGATTCTACATTCTCTGTTCTGGTTCTTGACAATAATCATAAATAGGTATCTCTGGTGGTTCTTCCATCATAAGCTTAGGAGCACAACTTCTTGTTGCTGCTACTATACATAATGTTACAGCTGAAGCAGCAGCTACATGCCAAGAAAATATCAGAGCAATACCTTCTGGTAATATTGGTACTGTATGATATACACGAACTACATGAGCTATCCAACCACCATGGAGTAATGTTGTACAGCCTCTTAGAAGCTTTAATTCAGGCCACACAAGCTCTAAAGTAATAGCTAAAGATGTCGTCCATACTATTAATGCCAAAATTCTATCAACTAATGCATTGTTTCCAACACTTCCCCACAAGAAAAGAAATCCTTCTATAAAAAAGCTTTGAGCAAGTGCCAATTTTACTAATCCTTCACTCACATTATGAGGGAAATAAAAATTTAAGACATCAACCAAACCAGAGAATGCAAAGAATAAATAGATTGTAGCAAGTACAACTTTTGGAGACACTGTTCCAACTTGTTGTAAACCACCAGTTATTGTACCAGCTAATCCTATAGCAGTAGCTATCAGTTTTAAACTTCCTTCTATAGGATGTCTGTTTATAAGTTTCTCACATTTTTCTATAAATCTTAGTCCTTTTGTTGTATGTGGATCATCTCTAGGTCTTAGAGATACCCAATATTTAGCATATTCATAACACCACTTTAGGCCAAAGGCATAAAATATAAAGCCAGTAAGAATACAAGGCATATAGTTATCCATGGAGTATATGTAAAATTAACTTCTTATTCTTCAATAATCTGTAAAATTTATAGAAATGTTAAAAAAATAGAATTCATAGAAAGAATTACGAAGAAAAAAAAATCGAATATTTTTTAATCTAAGTAAATAATTTGAGGAAGAAAATAATAAAAAATATATTTATCCTTAATCACTGTGTACAATATTGCTACGTAATAAAATAAAATTTACCTCCTGAATGAATATAAATTTAGAAATACTTCAGACATAGAATGGGCATAAAATAGATCTAACATGCAATGTATTTTTATGGTTCATATATTTCGTCTGTGAATTTATGTACAACCATTGACTAAGATAGATCCGACATCCAATGCTTTTTCGTGTCTCACGTTTCGGGGGTCATCTGACCCTCTTATCATTTCCTGTCATATCGACTTGGCAAGTATTGCACCACAACGTTTTGGCGATAGAAATTAAAATCGAAAAATATAGACAATGTTGCATGTACGTACAATAATTGTAATAAATAAATGCGAATTTACTGATACTTTATCAGTAAAAGAATATAAATATAATAAGAATATGAAATATAAAATAAGAACATAAAAAAAATATAACGATTCGGAACAGGGATTGATAGTGGGACGAAAAATTTATTATATATTTGATTATTTACATCTTTTTAAAAATATTAGAAAAAATTGATTAAAATATATTTTTATTTTATTTTACATAAAGGATTGGATATATCAAATAAATATTTCCATAAATATTGTTACTTTTTATCCCGAGTTAGTTTCGTGCGAAACGCGCCATTAGATTAGTTAACGATTACAGCGCCACTACACGGTAAAATACGTAATACACATCCTACGATTCTCGAATGTAATCGATATTTCTGATGATCGATTTTTAAGCGGGAGAGCAGACCTTTAATGGCGGAAGGGAGCACATCTCATCTGTAGAAAAGGAAGTGTTATCCAGAAAAATCATCCAGAAAGAAATATCATCCAGAAATTCTCAGGTAAAAATTTAAATCAGTAGTTGTTAAATTTGTGTTTGTATTGTGAATTTTTAAAATAACACGTGCATTTTTAGCTTGAACTCAAGATAAGATTTAACCAAATAATTATTACATATAATTTTCAACAATTAAAGAAATAATTAGAATAAATATAAATATAAATATTTAGAATACATAGAATATACAGAACATATTGTGCTAAAAATTATTTATAACTTTATACTAAAATTTAATTTCAATTCTAACCAGTACAAATATTGTAACCCTGTAACTGACTAACTCATTGTTATATATACACATGTATTTTATTATATGTTTTTACACACACACTTCTATTATAACATTTTCTACGTATTTGTTGACTCTTTTTTACTTCCATTTGTACCTAATTAATAGTATCATTTAATTAATATGCGTGTGTTTAACGATTCATTGAGCATTACAACAACGAAATCGTGTAGTGAAACTTTTCGTGCCGATTTTTCTTTAGTCGTTGATGTCACTCGTACGGTTACCGGTAACTTGTCTAGTATACTTATTTTATAGAATTTGAAGTTATTAATATAAGATTAATATAATATAAAATATAAATTATTAATATAATATATAATTAATATAATATAAATATATAATTAATATAAATATAAATATAATATAATATATAATTAATATAAATATAAATTATTAATATAATATATAAGATTATCCTTTCATTTTTAAATATTTGTCTTCATTTGACACATTTGTTCTAACTTTTGATTTCTTTTTGTGCAGGTCATCCCTTGATTGCAAAGATAGCATACAAACAACATAACCACGATTATTAATAGATAATCTGATGAACTTTCATAGAAATTTGGTAACATTTTATTCATTTTCGGTAACATTTATTGGTATACAATTTATGTATATTTGAGATACAATTTATATATTTTTGCAAACGCTGGCGCGCAATTGAAATGTTTCAAAGCAAGATTTCACACGCATTTTTCGTGGTATTATTTCTTAAATATATTCAGCTGTGAAATTTTGATTTGTGCAGACATTTTCGAATACTTATAACACGCGTGATATATTACTATATACACAATATGTGATATATTATTAATGTATATAGTACTTATTCTAGTATCGAACATTCAGAATACAATTTCTGCAAGTAGTTGTCTTCCATTTACATACAGTATTCGGTATTGAGAAGTACTTTACAATTGCAATTAGTATCTTTAATACATATTCAAGTTTCTTTATATTTCATTTTCTAGAAAAATAGCAGTATTTTGTATGAATGTACTCTTTGTCCTCCCCTTACTAAACAGCTTTATTTTCAGAAAATTTTTGTGATCGCGCGCAATGCGGTCGGTAGAGTCAGTGTTTGTTGCGCAATATTTTAATATTTTTGTGAGCAAAATGGCTCCTATTAAATATTAATAAAATTAATTGATTTAAGCTATAATTAGAGTGAGTCCGCCTATTCAAGACTTAAACGCGCGCGTTGATAGTCTTTTATTTTTCTTTTTTTATATTTCTTTGTGATGAATATTCGTTCTCGGTATTGGAGTCAGTGCTCAAGAGGATAAGGCCTCTCCAGGAGATTAAGATCGTAAGTAGTTTTATATATTATACTTCAATTTATTTAATTTTTCAAATTTAAAAACAATATATAATATTTGATTTATTTTATTACAGACGCTTCATCAACTTTTTTTGTATTTTTGGGGAACAATCCAACGGTGGCTTCAAAGCCAAGAATGTAAGAATCTTTCATGTTTTCTCTGATTTAAGATTTTACTTGACTTAAATATAAATTCTAATGTTTTGTTACAGATCTCCTAGTCTCCACTTCTTTTCTTAGAAAATCTTATGATATTTCAAAAAGCTAAAAATGTAAGTATTTCACCATGTTGTATTTAAATTCTATTCTTTATAGTCCTTTTTCTATTAAAGTCGAATGTAAAATTATAATTATAAAATAAAAATATTTCCAATTATTAGTCCCAATTCTTATTATTATTAAAATTTAAATTTTCACAAATAACATTGTGCCTCGATAAAGAAACAAAATGTTTATGTTTTTTAAGATTTTTCACGGCGTTCACTTTCATCATGAGATTCTCAGTGAAATCTACTTGATGAGGATCTTTACGACTTTTCCTGCTCCAGTACAGCATCGATAATAATGTTTTTCACATCTATCCTGTGAGTCGCATGTATTTTTGTTCCTCCGGTCACTCAATCATGTCGTAGGACGAAAGGTTCGAATCGACACGAGTGACTGGTTGTATACGTAGAACTTTTGATGAGCATAGTGATCGCGGGTATTTTTTTATACCCGTGAGTAGTAACATTTTTTTCAAGTTTTTTATGTATTAGATCAGGATAGAGCTTCTTGCATATCGCGATTTTAACAACTAGAATATATACATTTATCACAATTACTTATAAAATCAAAATATCTTCAATATAAATTTGCAAAAGTAAAATATCTACAAAAATATCCATATGAGTAGATAAATTATAAATATTTATAAATAATTAAATTATTAAAACACTTTTGTTTGAGCATTTCATAGTAGAGAAAACGGATATCCTCCGACTTCGTTGCTATGAAAGATGCAATTATTTATACTGGCAATTTATTTTGTTATAATAATTAATAATTTTAAATTTTATCTTCCCTTTTATAATAGCATTAAATGATTTAATTAATTGTTTCATAATTGTGAACTTCAGTAGAATTTGAACTATAATAGATTAGAATTCTTTCCATAGAAAAATGTATGAGATTTTATGTGCAAGAAGGTATTTCGCGACAGGCAGA